AATCCACACCACCGCTGTGGGTAACCCCAACATTCACCAGGTCTAACACACACCACCGCTGTGGGTAACCCCAACATTCACCAGGTCTAACACACACCACCGCTGTGGGTAACCTCAACATTCACCAGGTCTAACACACACCACCGCTGTGGGTAACCTCAACATTCACCAGGTCTAACACATTATCCCTCAGTGGGATAATGGAAATATGTGTTTCTTGGCATGTTTCTCCTGGTTTTCTTAATGATGATGATCCAAACCAACTTGTCATCATCAGTGATATGATGATTATGAACTTCAGGACTTCATGGAGTGCTCACCAGAACATACATAAGGTTATGTGAAGATGCGGGACACACTCATTACAACACTGTACTGAGGTCACTTTAAAATACCCATTAGTAACAGAATGACAATGTACCCTGACTATTTAATGGGTAAAAAAAGAAAACATTGAGGCTTTGTGTGAGACTTACAAAGCAGATTGTGCCAAACACATGCAGATGAAAACAGGCCCAACAAGTCTAACTGATGTAAACTTGTTTTTATGTTTGGTTGTTGTATTCCGCTCTTGAGTCGATGGAGATGATAAAAAATGATTTTTTAAATCATTATTTTAATTAAAACTTGACCTCTTGACTCTGATCTGATGAAGCATTCCTCAAAACTGTAAGTACATCTGAGTGGAGAATTCTTCTCAGATTGGTGTTTCTATATCAGTGAGACTGCAGAGCTCCCTTTAACTCATTCATTCTGTGATACAAAGCATTTATTGACATTAAGAATGAACCCAATTAATAAATGATTGTATGTAGTATATGTAAATATACTATACTGATTTGTAATTAAATCAAAATGAAAAGAAACTGCCTACACATACATGCTCTTAATTTTATGCTTGGTTTCATTTGTGAAACTGGCTGTGGACTCACTCACCCAACCAAGTAATCCTCCACCCTCATCGCATCACATTCTTTCTCATTCTCAGCATAGCAGCCAAACAGGACAGATATCATCAGTTACACATTTCAAACTTGTTGACTTGTGCAGAGAGCTGCAGTCACTCACCACGGAGAGCCATAGATCCTGAAGCCTCGCACAGTGACCTCAGAGTCCTGCAGGTAGATGCAGTTGGTGAGCAGCGACTGGACATTCTCATAATTCTCAGGCTTCAGTTTGGAGGCTGACGGGAAGTAGTAGAAGTCCTGTTTGATGAGGTCTGCCATGAACTCCTGGTCAAAGGTCAACTCATGGTTCCCAGCAATCACTATTTTGATGTCGTAGGGCAGAGTACCTGGGTTAGAAGAGAGGAATATCAGAGGGATAAATGACCAAAAAGGATAGATGCAAGGCTGAAAATGAAGGACACAATAAG